GCTCAGACTGATGAAGGTTTACCTGCCTGTGCAGCACCTGTTTCAGCAGGTGTGACAGGAGAGCAGCTGCTGCAGAAATGTTTTTAAATAAACTCTCATTTCTATTTGTGTGAATTTTAAAAGATTTAAACATTTCAGCTGCTTTTAAATATTCTGATTATTTGGAAATAAATACTATGTTCTGTTACAAACTAACTGAATCTTTATCGATGGGTGTACATTTTTAATTAATGTATTTAGATTATTTTTATCTTATTTACAATAGCATTGACCTAAAAGCAAAAATTTAACTACAAATAAATTTACATCAAACTGTTAAATACTTGTTAATATTCTAAATAAAATGATTGAAACAAAAAGTTGAACTGTTCTTTGATGCAGTTTGTTTCTGTAAGCAGAGAAAGTCAGCAGCAGTCTGAGCTGACAGAAACAGACCTGCATCCTGCTGTGCTTTAACTTCTCATGCCCTTATTTTGAAATGACTGACTTCCTCCACAACCTCTTCTGATAAGGATTTGAAAACATGCACACAATTTGATCAATAAATACATGCAGTGGGAACAAATGTGGAGGGACCAGAAACAAATGAAGAGCTTAAGTCTACAGAGATCTGAGCTGCAGAGACAGCATGCAAACATGCAGCACAGTGAGCTTAGCATCAAGCTACAACAAGGTTAGCATCAGGCTACTGACAAGTTAGCATCAGGCTATAAAAAGATTAGAATCACACTGCAGAGGAGTTAGCATTTAGAGGGCTTAGCATCAGGCTACAGAGGGGTTAGCATCAGGCTACAGAGGGGTTAGCATCAGGCTACAGAGGGGTTAGCATCAAGCTATGGAGGGGTTAGCATCAGGCTACAGAGGGCTTAGCATCAGGCTACAGAGGGGTTAGCATCAAGCTATGGAGGGGTTAGCATCAGGCTAAGGAAGGATTGGCATCAGGCTACAGAGGGGTTAGCATCAAGCTACAGAATGGTTAGCATAAAGCTACAGAGGGGTTAGCATCAGGCTACAGAGGGGTTAGCATCAGGCTACAGAGAGGTTAGCATCAGGCTAAGGAAGGATTGGCATCAGGCTACAGATGGGTTAGCATCAAGCTACAGAATGGTTAGCATAAAGCTACAGAGGGGTTAGCATCAGGCTACAGAGGGGTTAGCATCAGGCTACANTTAGTTAGGTTAGTTAGGTTAGTTTAGTTAGGTAGGTTAGGTTAGTTTAGTTAGGTTAGTTTAGTTAGGTTAGTTAGGTAGGTTAAGTTAGTTTAGTTAGGTTAGTTTAGTTAGGTAGGTTAGTTTAGTTAGGTTAGTTTAGTTAGGTTAGTTTAGTTAGGTTAGTTTAGTTAGGTTAGTTAGGTTAGTTTAGTTAGGTAGGTTAGGTTAGTTTAGTTAGGTTAGTTTAGTTAGGTTAGTTAGGTAGGTTAGGTTAGTTTAGTTAGGTTAGTTTAGTTAGGTTAGTTAGGTAGGTTAGGTTAGTTTAGTTAGGTTAGTTTAGTTAGGTTAGTTTAGTTAGGTTAGTTAGGTAGGTTAGGTTAGTTTAGTTAGGTTAGTTTAGTTAGGTAGGTTAGGTTAGTTAGGGTAGGTTAGGTTAGTTTAGTTTGGTTAGGTTAGTTTAGTTATATTAGGTTAGTTTAGTTAGGTTAGTTTAGTTATGTTAGGTTAGCTAGGTTAGGTTAGTTTAGTTAGGTTAGTTTAGTTATGTTAGGTTGGTTAGGTTAGTTTAGTTAGGTTAGGTTAGTTTAGTTAGGTTAGGTTAGTTTAGTTAGGTTAGGTTAGTTTAGTTAGGTTAGTTTAGTTATGTTATGTTAGTTTAGTTATGTTAGGTTAGCTATGTTAGGTTAGTTTAGTTAGGTTAGTTTAGTTATGTTAGGTTAGTTTAGTTAGGTTAGGTGGGTTAAGTTAGTTAGTTAGGTTAGGTAGGTTAAGTTAGTTAGGTTAGGTAGGTTAAGCTAGTTAGGTTAGGTAGGTTAAGTTAGGTTAATCTGTAAGACATCAAGCTGTAGCTGATGGTTAAGTTAGTTAGGTTAGTTAGGTTAAGTTAATCCGTAAGACAGCAAGCTGGTAGCTGATGGTTAGGTTTGTTAAGTTAGGTCAGGGTTAGTTAGGCTAGGTTAGTTAGGTTAGGTTAATCTATAAGACAGCAGGCTGGTAGCTGATGATCAATTTAGTTAGGTCAGGTTAGTTAGTTTAGGTTAGGTTTGGTTAGGTTAACCTGTAAGACATCAAGCTGTAACTGATGGTTAGGTTAGTTAGGTTAGGGTTAGTTAGGGGGTTAGTTAGGTTAGGTCAGGGTTAGTTAGGCTAGGTTAGTTAGGTTAGGTTAATCTATAAGACAGCAGGTTGGTAGCTGATGATCAGTTTAGTTAGGTCAGGTTAGCTAGTTTAGGTTAGGGTTGGTTAGGTTAGTTAGATTAGGTTAACCTGTAAGACATCAAGCTGTAACTGATGGTTAGGTTAGTTTGGTTAGGGTTAATTAGGTTAGGTTCATCTGTAAGACATCAAGCTGTAGCTGATGGTTAGGTTAGTTAGTTTAGGTTAGTTAGGTTAGGTTAGGTTAATATGTAAGACATCAAGCTGTAGCTGATGGTTAGGTTAGTTAGTTAGGTTAATCTGTAAGACATCAAGCTGTAGCTGATGGTTAGTTAGGTTAGGTCAGTTAGGTTAGGTTAATCTGTAAGACAGCAAGCTGGTAGCTGATGGTTAGTTTAGTTTGATTAGGTCAGGGTTAGTTAGGCTAGGTTAGTTAGGTTAGGTTAATCTATAAGACAGCAGGCTGGTAGCTGATGGTTAGTTTAGTTAGGTCAGATTATTTAGTTTAGGTTAGGATTGGTTAGGTTAGGGTTAGTTAGCTTAGGTTAATCTGTAAGACATCAAGCTGTAGCTGATGGTTAGGTTAGTTAGTTTAGGTTAGTTAGGTTAGGTTAGGTTAATATGTAAGACATCAAGCTGTAGCTGATGGTTAGTTAGGTTAGGTCAGTTAGGTTAGGTTAATCTGTAAG